GAGGGGGAGGAGAGAAGAAATGTATTACATAGAATGCAAGCAAATATCTTTATTTATTTATTTATTTATTTATTTCACAGTTTTCTACACCGAGCTTCTCAACCTCATTGAGGGACTCAGCCTGGTTTCCAGCCATAAAAAACATATACACTCATTAAAATATCATATATCACAATTACAAAAACAACTTTAAAAACACTATATATAAAACTACAGTGGTCAGTCGTCCTATTAAGATGGATCTACATCAACTTCCATCCAGGGTCCTATGGTGTTGTCTCATTCATCGAAGGCCTGACTCCACAGCCACGTCTTCACCCGTTTCCTAAATGTTAGGATGGATGGGGCGGTTCTGGCCTCCAGAGGGAGAGAGTTCCAGAGTCGCGGGGCCACCACCGAGAAGGCCCTGTCCCTCGTCCCCACCAGGCGCGCTTGCGAGGCCGGTGGGACCGAGAGCAGGGCCTCTCCAGATGATCTTAATAATCTTGATGGTTCGTAGGGGAGAATACATTCGGAGAGGTAAACAGGGCCGGAGTCGTTTAGGGCTTTATAGGTCAACACCAGCACTTTGAATTGTGCTCGGAAGCTAATTGGCAGCCAGTGGAGCTGGCGTAACAGCGGAGTGGTGTGCTCCCTGTACCCAGCCCTGTTAGTAATCTGGCTGCCGCGCGTTGGACTTGCTGCAGCTTCCGGGCAGTCTTCAAAGGCAACCCCACGTAGAGAGCGTTGCAATAGTCTAAGCGGGATGTAACCAAAGCGTGTACTACCGTGGCCAAGTCAGCCCTCCCAAGGTACGGACGCAGCTGGCGCACAAGTTTTAATTGTGCGAATGCTCCCCTGACCACCGCTGAAACCTGGGGTTCCAGGCTCAGCGATGAATCCAGGAGAACTCCCAGACTGCGTACCTGTGCTTTTAGGGGGAGTGTGACCCCATCCAGCACAGGCTGTAACCCCGTACCTTGTTCGGTCTTACGACTGACCAGGAGTACCTCTGTCTTGTCTGGATTTAGTTTCAGTTTGTTCGCCCTCATCCAGACCGTAACAGCGGCCAGGCACCGGTTCAGGACCTCGACAGCCTCCTTAGTAGCAGGTGGAAAGGAGTGACAGAGTTGGACATCATCTGCATACAGATGACATCGGTACCCCAAAACTCCGGATGATCTCTCCCAACAGCTTCATGTATATGTTAAACAACATAGGGGACAGTATTGAGCCCTGCGGGACTCCACAGTGCAATGGCCGAGGAGTCGAGTAGGAGTCTCCTAGTGACACCTTCTGGGAGACACCCTCGAGAAAGGACCGGAGCCACTGTAAGGCAGTACCCCCAAGACCCATTCCCGTGAGGCGTCCCAGAAGGATACCGTGGTCGACGGTATCGAAGGCCGAAGAGAGGTCCAGCAGAACCAACAGGGACACACTCCCCCTGTCCAGTTCCCGGCGAAGATCATCAACTAAGGCGACCAAGGCTGTCTCAGTACCATGTCCCGGCCTAAAGCCAGACTGTGACGGATCTAGATAGTCCGTGTCCACCAGGAATTCCTGGAGTTGCGAGGCCACCACACGTTCCAGGACTTTGCCCAAGTAGGGGAGATTGGAGACTGGCCGAAAGTTGACGAATTGAGTGGGGTCCAGTGATGGTTTTTTCAACAGCGGTTTGATGACAGCTTGTTTTAAAGCTGGCTGGAATCTTGCCTTCCTGAAGGGAGGCATTAACCACCACCTTTACCCACTCTGCCAAACCCCCTCTGGCTTCTTTTACCAGCCAGGAAGGGCAGGGGTCTAGGATGCATGTGGTAGGTCTCGCCTCTCCCAGAACCCTGATGACCTCGTCGAGTTGAACAGATTGAAACGAATCCAACAAATTGGACAAGCAGATGCTTGAGTTACATCCTCAGAGACTGCCATTAATGTGGTGTCAAAGCCCGAACGGATCAAAGCGAATTTGTCCGCAAAGTACTGAGCAAATGCTTCACAGCGCGCTGCCGAGTCGTCAGGGGACCCACTCAAGGTGGGATTCAACAACCCTCTGACTACTCGGAACAGCTCTGCCAGACGGTTCCTTGCGGACGCAATATTGGCCAAGTAGAAAGCATTTTGCGCGGCCTCTATTGCCGCGCCATACGCCCTTAGATAAAGGCGTAGACGTGTTTGGTTTGGCTCGCTGGGCTTTTTCCTCCACACGCTCTCTAGCCATCTCTTTGTTCGCTTTAGCTCTTTATTCGTGATATAGTACAGACTACTTTGCTTACAATAGCAAGGAAAACAAACTTATTGTAATTCCAAAGACATGATACACAGTTTAATTTTGGATCACTTATTTTAAAAGTATCATACATGAAATGTTCTTTAGATAGTTTAAGAATTAAGAATTTCTTTTGGAGTTTTTTCTATATTTGCATGGCAGCATCATGCCTACAAAAGTCATAAATTGGTAGGCATGGCGGTAAGATGACTTAACACCAGGCCATATGAAAACTCTGCAATCCAAACCATTCCAAACCCAGGAACATTGGATATCACATTTGACAATCCTGGCCTTGACCTAACTTTCTGTCAGCACAGAAGCTGTGCCCTCAGCTGGGGAAGGAGAGGGGGGGGAGGGAGGAAGAAGAAACCTCCAAAGGGCATCCAGACCAACCCCCTTCATCCAGGCAGGAAGACACAATAAAAAAAACCCTCCCAACAGAGAGCCTTCCAACTTCAGTTCAAAAACCCTCCAGAGCAGGAGACTCCACTAGACTCCCAGTCTCTACTTTTCTAGGGTTCAAAGAGAATTTCAAAGGGCATCTTTATATTTTGTATGAAATTCTTATAAGTGATTGGTTTAGCCCCTCCAGTTTACTAGTAAAACTGAAGTACCATGTCATGAAAAGATGCATGCCTAAAAAGCGTTTCACCAACATGAAAGGTTTGGAAAATTCTGTTCTACAGTATCATTCCTCCCAGCCTTCCCAGCTTGGATTTGATATACATCTTAATTTCTTCCTCATAGAGACCTGTCACCAACATGACACCTACATTCCTTATGGGATCGGTCTCCTCACAGATGTTGACACTTGGCTTAAAGGTTTTGTTGAAGGGCTTACTGGGTTTGAAAGGTGCAGGGATTCCTGAACCCTCGTAATACTACTACCACTATGGGAAGGAGCCTTCATTACACCATCGTAATGCACTACCTCTTAGGGTTCACTAGTCCCATGGTTCTCATATCCCTCAGATCCCTGGGTTTATGGCCTGCTCAGTGCTCAGAAACTCCTTCATACCAGAACTGTTCTTCATCCGCTCCTCGCTGATCTCAGTATCAACCATCTGCTTAGCTCTCACATTTTCCAGGGTCCAACTTGTTTCAGATACTCACAGCAGCTTCAGATCCTGGTGCAGCACACATTACACTGTAAAATGCTGCTACCACTGTTGGTCCTTCAGACTAGGTCCCTGCAGCAGATCCCCTGCCTAGCCCTTGAATTGAAACTACACAAATCACTAATGATCCCATCAAAACATTGTTTTTTTTTCCTCAACACCCACAGCTTCTAAATTCTAAAGGGGTCTCTTCTAAATCAAGACTTTTCCAGGAACAAGCAATCATCCATTTTGAATCAGAGAATCCCTGCTGCCCCTCTCCAAAGTTATTACTATCCTGGCAGATGTATTGCTAAAAGACTAGGAAATCCATCACCGTCGGAGAATATCCACTCCTATCTGGAGAAAATTCTTAGAACTGGAGATTCAAATAAAGCCTTCTCACACCACAGATATGGTAAACCTAAATTTCTCCAAGTCCCAACTAGTGTCAAGGACAACAAAACAGTTTGTTTATCTTGCAGCTTTGAGACACTTAGGAATTATTTTCCAAAGAGATGAGAAGCTGCATAGTCCCCCATACCCCCAGCTGTGTAGTTTCCTGGGAAAACTGTACAATAATCCAAAAGCTATGCAGATCTCCTTGAGAACTGGACAGCCTTCTCAAAATACTACGCAGCTTTCTGTGTAAAAAGGACTGCTTTCAGACAGCCATGTACAATAATGATTATTAATTTAGTAAACAGCAATATTGCACAACAAAACCATGCACCTATTTTTTGTGAAACATTGTTGGAATTTGCATACTTTTTTGTTCTGCAATGTTGCTTTTTCTATGTAAAATCAGTAACACCATGCAAAATCAGCAATATTATGAAAAATGCCACGTGGCTATAATTTGTGTAGCATTGCTGATTTTTCTAATTAAAAACAGACCTGTATGTTTGAAATTGGGAAGAAAACTAAGCAAGTATAGGCATTATGTAGCAGAGAAAAGCAAGAATTATCAAGTAAGACTCACATTTACTTTCACAGAGACCTGTACATTTCAGGATTGTTTATTGAAATTTCAAATCTGTCCAGGGCATTTTTTATGGGTAGTGAAATTAATTGCCATGCAGTTTCCACTTTTATCCACAACTGAATGGTAACTGAATGCCTACCTAATATCCCTTTGAAGATGCATCGATGTTGAAGAATTAAAGCAGTTTGACATTGCTTTATATGTCATGGAACAATGCTATCAAATCCTGAGATCTGTAGTTTTTTGAGACACCAGCACTCTTTGGCAGAGAAATCTGAAGACCTTGTGAAACTATAACTCCCAGAATGCTATGGCATTGAGCAAAAATGCATTCATTCTACAGTATAGATGTACCCTGAGTCATTCTTTCAAACTCCACTATTACAATGAAAGTACACAGTAAAGCAAAACATATACAAAAATCCAGATGGGGTTTAATTTGTAATTCAGGTTTCTCAATTGAACTCATGTAAGTGTAATACTGAATTCACTTCAGCACCATTTAATAAACATGATATACAACATGCTAATACTCTTCTACAATCAAGTTAACAAACACCAGAGAAATACGAAGAGTTTGCATTAAATGATGTGGTGTTTTCATATATACACTTGTCTTCAGTACTTAATTCCATATTGATTTATTGTTACAATGCTGTCTTTTTCATTGCAGGCCTCCAGGTGGTTTTAAATTCCATTATCAAGGCCATGGTCCCTTTGCTGCACATTGCCCTGCTGGTGCTGTTTGTCATAATTATCTATGCTATCATCGGACTGGAGCTTTTCATGGGCAAAATGCACAAGACCTGTTATGTAACGGGGATCATAACAGGTAATGGATATGCTACATAAGCCTACATTTTGTCATACTGTTTAATAACAGTGCAAAGTTAATATGATGTGTTTGATTTAACAGTACCTTGTACGTGTCACAGTTCCAATGACATCAGTCCCAGTTCTTCAGGTGACTGATTAAGACTAAGAGCCAGAAGTTCTAAAATGAGAAGAAAAAGAAAATGGCTGGAGTTAAATGTTACAAGTACTGTTTATTTTTCCTTCTGCTCAAAGAGCACATAGCTGTAAGGGCAGAATGAGGAATTCATTCAGCCCTGTAAGTAAATAAACGATATGAGGTATAACTGAGAATGGAATTGAGCAATACTGTGTATTCTATTTCATTTTCATTCTAGCAGAAGAGCACATAGCTCTAATGCAAAACTGAAGACTAGTGCAGCCTTATGTTGAAAAAGTTACCTGAAATGTCCACATGCAGTGCTCTTCTTCTCTTCCTTATAGTCTAGAAAAAACTAAAAGAAGTTTCAGCTTGGTTATCTCATAGTTCACCCTCTCCCATGTCAATCTGCCTCCCAGCTGAGATCAGTGAGAGGTTACTGGAAAAAGGGATTGTCTTTGGTACAGTCCAAATTATCAAACTTTCCACCTGAATGCTTTTGACTGTTGTATTTTGTTTGAATGTTATATTAAGATTTTGTTTGTTTGTTTAAGAAATTGCAAGTTAGGATATCTGTTAAACAAATAAGTTAATATGCACAGTCCTTGGTAAAAAGATTATGTATTTATATTCTGCCCTTCTCACTCCGCAGGGGACTCAGGGCGGATTACAGTGTACACATATATGGCAAACATTCAATGCCAATTTGACATACAACGTATACAGACATACACAGAGGCTATTTACTTTTTTCTGGCTGCCAGGGGAGCTGTCGCTTTCACCGTCCATCTGCGACACTGATGAAGTACTTCTGCATTCCCCACGTGCTTTGCTGGAGTCTTTTTTATGGCCTCATAAATTAGTTAATTTAGCCTCCCCACACAAGGTGGTACCTAATTTTCCTACCTGACAGATGCAACTGTCTTTCGGGTTGCAAAGTTTGACAACAGGCTACACAATTGGTTGGAAGCCCACTCCAACCCGGGCTGGCTTCAAACTCATGACCTTTGGTTGCTGGCATATATTTCTTGGCAACAAAAAGCAGAGAGCTTATGGTAGAAACAGTGATTTTACTTATTATGCTCTAGTAAAATACAATGAAATTGTCTGAGGTAGTTCTTCAAAAGAAAGTAAAGGAAGAAAAAAACCCTAAATTTAGACATCCAAAAGAAAATCAGAAGTCACAGATTTGGTGTTTTTATTCATCTGGAGATGGGACAGTAATTGGTTATTTGTTTCCTTGTAAACACTTACAACACACTGATTCTGCGGGCTGTTTGCTTGTTTGGCCAGAAAACAATCTCTCTTGTGTTTAAAGCAGTAGGTTTCGTATTTCATTTGGTTTTCTTCCCAGCCTAGTTCAGACAAGACTATTGGAAAGGGCTATCATCCTTACAAGCATCATGCTGCAATATAACAAGGAGAGATGGTGCCCTGTGATCATGAGCACATTGTGTAAATTGAAAAGCCAAAGAACATGATTGAAAAGAAAATAAATTGCCTTAAAAATACTGGCTTACAATTCCTTCACAACAGCCTATTTCTTCTTATTCATTTTATTTTCTTGTTTTGTTCACCATCTTGCAACAATTGTTTCTTTATTCATGGCCTTTTTTATGGCTGCCATAATATCTTTTCCAAGCTCTCATTCTTCAAAGTGTCAAGGAAAGAAGTAGCAGCAAAATGAAATTTAACATTCTGAATCAAGTCTACTACTGGCAGTGGCTATATATAGAATACAAGCTGCTTTAGTCTGCTCTAAAGCGTTGTTTAGATGCCTTTTGCAGCTTTATGAGAAAACTTGTAGATGAACATTGGAAGAAACATAGAGGATAGAGCAAGCAGAATGTCCCAGAAAAAGAACATTAAAGAAGCTGTCTGGCATGAGTTAGATGACAACAGTTCAAATACACAATTCCCCACCACCACAGACATTTTATGATTAGTTTTGATTGTTGTATTTAGCATTTCCAACAGCTTTCAGAACCAAAAACATTTTTAGGTCACTTTCAGCCATTACATTTTGACTTGAGAATAATTTGATATGTAAAACCTGGGCTTTTAAAAGCAAACATTTTAAACTACTATTCCTTTAAATCTTTCCAGGATTATTTATGGTTGGTTATAATACACTATATGATAGTCATTAATAAAATGATCATTTATACAATATAAAACAACTGTGGAGCGCAGTGCTAAAAATAATCACAGCAGAAATATAAATGCCTCAGAAGGCATTTATATTTCTTTACTCATGAAGTAAGAGACATTTTTGTAGGTGCACTTGCCACCTCTTTGTAGGACATATTGCGGCTTGCCACTTCGCTCACTTCATGCGCATGAAGAAAGTGTGGCTGTAATAAAATTTGACTACGACAGTTAAAGGTACAGAGTCCTGGCCCTAAGATGTGCCTGGCCTGAGAAGTACCTACATGTGAACAACAGCATGAATGTAATGTTATGAGCACAATTCTGCTCATAATGTGTGTTTTCGATTTTCTAGTGCATTGCCCTGATTCTATGAATTGGGGTGACCTCCAGAATCATATGGTTATGATATAGGGAGTTGTGATGCAAAGGAGGATTAAGCAAACTGAGGAAGAAAAAGTGACTTGCTTATTGGTCGAAATCAGTATATAAACCACCCTGAACTCCATGAAGTACTGGCAGGGCCATATAATGATTATAATGGTCTAAACACAATGTGAAGTGTGGAATGCTCCTGTTCAGGATTCCAGCTGCTCTCTTCCATTCCTGATCCTGGTGTCCCCTCTCATTCCCATTTTCAACAGGTAATATTCTGTGTTAGCTGAGCATTCCCAATTGTTATTAGATGTTTTGGATGTTTAAACCTCATTGCAGCATCTTGAATTCAGAAGTTGTATGTTTTCTATAAAAAGTCCCATTCATTTATCTAATGATGTATTTTTCACTAGTGGAAATTTTCTATTCATCTTCAGCCCCAGATACAGTGCAATGCAGTAATTGGGAGGTTACTAATGTCTCAACTATTGTATCCAGGTTAATTATGTTTACGAAAGGTCATTGGTTTTTGTTGTTTACAATAAAAAACATTAACAAAAAAAGGAAGGGCCATTGGTGCCAGATTAATTGAAGCTGGTTCCAAGCACTTCCAAGTCACAACGTCTGTTTGACATCCACTGAAGAAGATTTATATGAGAATATTCACAGGTTGTTCATCTTCTTCTTCAGGGGAAGTTCTACCACATATTAGGCAGGTTGCTTACTGTACAGAAGTTGATTGTAAATGATAAGATTATAACTGTATTGGTGTTTGCACTGGTTGCCCTAATGCTGGAGCGGCCTAGCTGTGAGGAGTGTGTTACCATGGAAACGATGCTGTAGAGAAGTGGGAGGAGCTTAGAGAGGAGAGTTTTGAAAAGCGACAGTTAAAGTCAGTCAGGGTTTAGGCTCAGAGGAATGAAGAGTCAGGGTTTAGGCTCAGAGGAATGAAGAGTCAGGTTTTAGGCTCAGGGTGGGAGGAGCTTAGAGAATGAAGGTTTTGAAAAGTGACAGTTAGAGTCAGTCAGGGTTTTTAGGCTCAGGGAAGAGCAGGTCAGGATTGAGACTCTGAGAAGTGAAGAGTCAGGTTTCAGTGTTCGTGAATAGTAGAGATTTCTTCAGTTAGGAAGCTGAAGGGGAAAATCTTGTTTCATTAGTTAGAGAGGACTAATAGAAGCTTGTTTAGATCACTAGTTAAAAGTGAACTAGAGATCTGAGGTTTGATCACGAAGGATCAAACAGGAAGACTATTCACCTCAGGAAACATTGTTAATAAAGTGCTTCACCACAGCAAAAGTTATTTATAAGTTGTAACATCAGAAGTCTGTACTGTATCGCAACCAAGTTATATGTAACGTTCTCCAAGTATCTTCCAAGTTTATCACCAAACTGCAACCATACGCTTTGTTTCAAAATAAACTTGTTCTCTTTGATTTTAAGACTGCCTCATCTCCATTGATTCGGCGTTCAGTGTGCCCAATCTCCCAAAATTACCTCACATTACAAATTGGTGGCACCAAAAAGAATAATAAATAATAAATCGTAACTTCTCTCTCCTGAAAACCCCTTTCCTTTGAATTGGGGTAAGCCCTTCGCACTTACCAAGTTCCTGGAGTTTCTAGCTTTTCAGTATTCAGTGTCATTGTATTGGCCTCACCCAGGCACTAGTCAGCATCTGCATAGCACCAGTTGATTTTAATAAGAAGTTGAGCTGAATATCATCAGCATATTTATAGTAGCTGAAACTACTGATGGTCTCACCTTACTGGACTTCATACATCCAGATAGGTGAAAACCTGGGATGGGAGAAATAGCTGGTTCTGCTCAGCTAAATCTTACTGTAGCAGCCAGCAAAATCCCCATCCAGTGAGAAAACCAACAGCTCTGTAGAAGTAGACTCCAAATGCAAAGGTCCTCCTTCACTATTATTACTTGGCTGCAGGTACTATCTGTTAGTAAGTTGTTCCTGGTAAGGTATCACACACCACTTCACCTACCCCTGCTTGCTAAAAATAGATGAAATGACAGCAAATTACTGTTTAGATTGTCTCACCATAGAAAGAAATAACTATTTATGTCCTTGAGTACTGGGAGCTGAAAACAAGGTCACCTGACTTGGTTTTAATAATTCTTCTTCTCTTTTTTCCTGTGCTTGTTGTTCAAGATGCACCTGCAGAAGAGGAACCTTCTCCTTGTGCGCCTGCATTTGCACATGGCCGGCAATGTCAGAATGGTACTGACTGCAGACCAGGATGGGAGGGGCCAAAACATGGCATTACCAACTTTGACAACTTTGCCTTTGCCATGTTAACTGTGTTTCAGTGCATCACCATGGAGGGCTGGACAGATGTATTGTACTGGGTATGTATGTAAAATAAGGCAGTGGCAATAAGAGTACAGTACTATCTAATAATGCTTGAAAAAAATTGGCTGCACTTTCCATGTTGCTATGCTGTTCACTAACTGAGCTATGCAAACAGCCCAATCGCATTGTGTGTGTGTGTGTGTGTGTGTGATGGTGGGGTTTTTCCAGTATTGGTCTTCTTTCCATATTCATTTATTGAGTGTGATATCTATGAGTAAACTGAATTATATCCAATATTTGTGCTGTGGTTTTATGGATCAGTTTATCAAGTGGTATGGTATTCTTTTTGCATGCCAAGTACGAGTAGTTCAGACAACTCCAGATAAATAAAGTATCATAATTTTTTAACAACCAAAGAATTACGTTTTCCTTCATCAACTATTATCAAAGACACTGGTCACTTTTTGGTGAGGGTATCAATGTTCTTGATTTTTTTTCTGACATAGAAAGATAAATTTTACTTTGCCATAGGCAGACACTCAAATTACATTTTTAAAGTCTAAAAATATGATATATTAAATCTCTCTCCCTTAGAACTAGACCATGAAGTCTTTCTCAAAACTATGACCATAAATACAAGCCATGTATTTATGTTTGCAGAATTCTGGTCATCACAAGCTTCTCAGTTCATTTTAGAGTAAACCTCTGCAAATGAATCATCTTGGTTTTCATTTTTGTACTCTACTAAAGTAAAAGAGGAATAGACTACCTGAGAAAGTGTGGTCTTTCCTTCTTTTAAGGTTTTGAAATGAGGATTCCATAGCAATCTATCAAAAAATATCTGGCAAAGGATTTGACTAGAGGGCCCCTGCAACCTCTTCAAGTCGAGTGATTGATTTTGTGTGGGCAGTGGAGCTCCAGGTATTAAGTGGAACCTCTGTGGACAGAGGAAAGTAGTACTATGCTGAAACACGGGTTGAAAAATATTTTGGAATCCACACTAGTCATCTAGTCCGACCCCATGCCATGCAGGAAATGAGACAAAGTTTTTTAACCAGTGCAAGAAACATATATGGAGGGAAACTGTGTCTTTTACTGAACTTTAACAAAATCAGAGATAAACAAGGCACAGTGGTTAAGATGACTTGATTTTCACCAGGGATAGTACTCAGAGCACCAAATTAAACTTAAAAATTATGTTATTTTTAAATATCCAAGTTCCATTTTTTCTATGATGTAGGATGAGGTGCAATTTAAAAATGATGATCATACCCGATAGAAGTAGTAATAATATCAATTATTACACCAGCGTAATAATGGATATAGCAGTACCCCCTTAATTCTAGCTAAACAAACTCTGACATAAATGAAAATGATATTAACGTTTCCTTCCTCTTTGAATAGTTTCCAGAAAAAGGGGATTCCACTTTCGGATTTTCGGTGACTCTAAAGAGCATGCATTTGGGGACATGCTAATCATTAGGGCCCTATCCATAGGTATTGCTCTGTAAAGCAACAGCTTGGCTTGTTAAATGTTGGTACATCTGGGCTGGCCCTATTGTTGAGTGGACAGTAACAGCCCAGGAGAACCAAGCAGCAAGGCTGTAGAACTGATGTAGCAGATTTAGAAGTGTTGACCTGTAAAACTCCCTTCCGTCTGCCAACATCTTTGAAATTGCACTCTTGAGCTTCCATGGAAAAGCTTGAAATGGAATTGCGCAGTTGCCCTGGAAACTCTTGTCATGAACTTGAATTGGGGGAAGAAACCAGGCAACAGATATAATTTACTTTGCTGACATCCTTGACATGTTTTGTGAGGTTCTCTCATCCCTCTGCAGTCTGTTGAAGCCATTGAGGAAGATGTGATGAGAAACACAGTGATATGCCGCAAAGTTGCAAAAATGTTATAAGCAAAAGCATCACCCCACAATTTTCACCAGCTGTGTTTGTGCTTTCTCACCCTTTATTTTTAAGAGTACACAGGCTTGAATTAGCATGGCCTTTTCCACCCAAGGAATAATCTGTTTTGCAGAATGCACTTCTCCGCATGCTTCCTGTACATATTTTTTCCCTGAGAAAGAACTGGTGTGTTGTTTATGTTAATTTGCTTAAAAGAGGAAAATGAAAATGACAGCAGATTTTGGGAGGGTTGTAAAATATATCAAAGACTGGATTGAGGGAAAGAGAAAAGGGGCAATAATCTCTAGCCATTTTCAAGTTAACTGTATGCCAAAAAAACCCACATCTTGGGTGGTCATGTTTTTGTACCAGTGAGAAGCCATAATGCCAAGACAATCTCCATTACTTCCAGAAACTATTTTTAAAATGTTGTTCATTTATATATGCTACTTTGCATTCATTTATTCAAATTTCTAAGTATTAATTGAAACTAAGCTTTTAAAATATTAAATCTGGACTATTCAATATTAACTAATAACCATACTACCAGATTTCTCATTTAGAGATAACTTGTATTACATGATCTGTAGAGAACTAGAAATTGATTGGTTATTGGTGATCCCAAAAGTTAAGACTCTGTTCTTGACATGAATGGGAGAGGCACAGGCTTCGCACAACCTTATTATGATCGCACAATCCAGATTATGTGGAAAACTTTTGACATTGTATAGTTTGTGCTTGCCCTGCACTTTAGAATTATAACCAGATTTTCATTCAGTTTGGAGCTCTCTGTCCAGTGTCCTGCTTGGGAAGGTGCTTTTAACACTTCTATTTTTCTCTTTATCTTTCAATACGATTCTTCAGTATTTTGCTCTTTTTCCATTCTATTCTTAACTGTTGTGTTTTCCATTACCATTCCTCAGACAGTTGTTTCAAAGATTTATGAGTAGTTGTAGCTTTTTGAATAAATGTTCACATAAATCGGGTAGAGAAAAAGAGGCTATGGCTCATCGGCACAGGAAAGAAATCATAGGTTTTTGCTTGTAAAAAATGTCATGCTGACTTCTCAGCATCTCATACTACAAGAGATCAGAAATTTGAAAAGGTTCATTATTAGATGCTGACTTATATACACCAACATTGATACTTTTCATATTATATAGTGTTGTTGCCTATGAGTGATGGAAATACTTAAAAATGAGGGCGGACATGGGTTAGACCATCCTCTACCCCACATCCAATTTATACTGTGGAATTCTGATGTAAATCCACAGACTGTTTCTGAGTATCAAGTTAAAAGCTGGATTTAAATCTATGAAGACAACATACAGACTTTTAATGAGTGATTTTCTATAGTTCTGAAATAGTTGACTTGCCTTTTCTAAAGCCAGTTTAATCAACATACTCCACCTCAGACATCAGAAGAGCTGCAAGACCAAGAACAAGCCACGAGAGTAAAGACAAAGATCCATCCAGAGGAAAAGTGTTCTTGCCATACATCAAGGGAACCACTGACCGCATAAGGAAGCTGATGAGGAAACACAACATACAAACTATCTACAGACCCACCAAGAAAATCCAACAAATGCTTCGTTCAGCAAAGGACAAGAGGGATCCTCTAGCTTCTGCAGGAGTCTACCATATACCATGCAGCTGTGGACAAGTCTACATAGGGACCACCAAACGCAGCACCAAACACGAATCAAGGAACATGAAAGGCACTGCAGACTACTTCAACCAGAGAAGTCAGCCATAGCAGAGCACCTGGTGAACCAACCTGGACACAGCATATTATTTGAGAACACAGAAATGCTGGACCACTCCAACAACCACCATGTCAGACTACACAGAGAAGCCATTGAAATCCACAAGCATGTGGACAACTTCAACAGAAAGGAGGAAACCATGAAAATGAACAAAATCTGGCTACCAGTATTAAAAAACTCTAAAATTAGAACAGCACAACAACAGAGAGGAAACAAACAAGGACATCTAATCACCTCTCAACAAAAGATTGCTCCAGGCACTGCAGGCCATTATAATGTCAGGCCAGGCTAATCAAGGTGGTCAGTTGAAACATTCACACCTAGCTCCAGCAGACAAGAGTCCTTTGTCTCACCCTGGTCATTCCACAGATATATAAACCCTTTCCTAGTTCCAACAGGCCTCACTACCTCTGAGGATGCTTGCCATAGATGCAGGTGAAACGTCAGGAGAAATGCCTCTAGAACATGGCCATATAGCCCGAAAAAACCTACAACAACCCAGTGATTCCGGCCATGAAAGCCTTCGACAATACATTCTCCATGACTGTTTGGGAATGAAGGCTGACCAACCCAACCCTACTCCCAGCCACTTTCTTTTAATCTCACCCATATCATCTCTGGCTAGTATTATCAAGGCCTTCCTTTTCAGGAAACCTAGATTATTTTCACCTAAATATATAATCAAAACTTGAGGGGCTCACTTATCCATTTCTTTTTAATTCTGATACAGCGTATACATATAATAAAAAAGGAAACATATCTTCATTGGAATTGTGAGCTACTGCTTCCTGGGAGCAGTATTATTCTTCACTGCCTGTGAACAATAAGACAAAGTGTAATTGAACCTGGAGTGTGTGTGTGTGGGAGGGGGGAGGTGTTGTTGGTTTAAAGTGGCAGGATATATAGAGTTTCCATGAGATAAGAGCTCAGGAATGTCAATACAGCTTTTTAAAAATAAATTGAAAGATTACATTGCACTTCAACATTTGGCCAGAAACCAGAATAAACCTATGGAATCAGTTGCTGAATTATATATATTCAGCATGTATGCAAATTCAGTTGATTCAGTCCTAAATATGACTACCAACAGGATATAGACTTGGGAGTGCATTTCTAGAACAAATATGGGAAATATGTGACCAGCCAGATGTTGTTGGAGAACAACTCTTAGCACCCCCAGCTAGTACAGCCAATGATGAGGAATGTTGGGAGGAATGTTGCCATTCAGTACCATCTAGAGGGCTCCATGATTCCCATTCTGTGATTATTACTAAGGATATGTAAACATATGATGTTGTGTCATCACTTTGACACAATAAGAAATGTCATTGTGATGCAAACTTTTCATTGATTCACTTGTATATAACATACAGTGCACAGTAGTGGTCATCTTTTTTTTACTTTCCTTTTTGGTACCCAAGTCACTTTACATGTCTATGAAGTGTCAGGTCCTAATAGCCTTGGATGATACAACTTTTGCTTTTGAATCTGCTATTCTCCTTTCAAAGTTCTGTTGATGCTTTGGTCAGTCCAATCTCATTTCCTGTAAAGCTTTATGAAGCAATACCAGGCTTGAATATTTTTGCCCCTGGAATAAAATGGGGCAGTGATGCTTCTTTCTCTACTCATGAAAACAAAACAACAAAAAACAGAAGCAAAGGTTCAAAACAGGTTCTCCTTCAGGATTGTGCAGACTGAAGGCATTGCTTCATGTCATTTCTTGGTAATGGTGAACCTGGGGAAATACAAATCAATAAATAAAATTCAAATAATGAGTTATGTTGTTATTACGTTATAAATATTATCATTCCCAATATGAATTCTTGGCATAATAAATTGGTCTCTGAAATCAATGAGAATGATAATAATATGTGCAGACACAGTTTGTTACCTAATCACACATAAATAGTGCTAGACAATTGCGGATAAATTATGAAATGGGCACAAAAAGTGCATTCAATAACATGTTTCAATCATTATCTTCATATCTTTATCATGTTTCCATCAGGAGGGAATAAAAGTAGGTTAACTATGCATAATATTGTAACGTAGATCACATTTCCTTAATCCATGTCTCTACAACTAAATCACTCCACTAGACAGTGATACTTTATTTAGGTTGTATCATTCAACACATTAAAATAAATGTTAAATCAATTTCAGTTACAAAAATACCATATTAATGTATTCAAAGCAGTTAAAATTAGGTGAATTAAAATATGTCAAATCATCTATCAGTCCACAAGACTTATTTGCAAATCTGTCTGTCTTCTTTACCTAGTCGAATTCTTTCTGTCTCTGTCTTCTAACTATCCTCCATCTTTCCAGATGCAGGACGCTATGGGCTATGAGTTACCCTGGGTGTACTTTGTCAGTCTGGTCATCTTTGGATCCTTTTTCGTTCTAAATCTGGTTCTTGGTGTGTTGAGCGGGTAAGCTGTTGGTTTTGGTGTTCTTTTCCCTCCTCATGCTGTAGCATGGCAAGACTCCAAGGTTAGGGTACTTCCATATCACCAGAATTGCTTATTTATCACAAGCAAAGCCAAGGCGTGTATTAAATATCCAGTCAATATTATCTGCAAGTAGTTGCATTAGGGAACAATAACATTATAAAGGAGAAATACATTTGCTAAGCTGACTAATTATTTCATTCCCCCTTGAGTTGGAATGGGTTTTTTCATAATTGACTAAACCAAATAAATGTACCAAATCAACACTGGTGACTAAAGTTCCCTTCAAATGGAGCCTTGCAATGCTCAGGAACTGAAACTTCCTCACTAATTATTGTTCCACTCTTCTAGGTCAATGATGCCATAGGAAGGGAGTGGCCCTGGATCTATTTTGTTACTCTAATCATCATAGGGTCATTTTTTGTACTTAACTTGGTTCTCGGTGTACTTAGCGGGTAAGCAGTACCAGGAAAAATGTTTTAAATTGTTGTTTCTTTACATGGCCTTCTGATTTGCCATTTCCACTTTTTCTGGGATTGCATATATGGGGCCTGATACAAAATATTCCCAGTATCACTTCCTAATGTTACCTAGAATTGCTAAACCCATTAGAGATGCAGCTATCAGTGAGATAAAGGGAAAGCATTCATGACATATGACATAATGGCATCAAACAGCCCACAAAATTGAGGGAGGAGTCTCTTCAAAGCCAGCAATACTAAGCCTAAGAAGATTGTTTTTCTTGAAGTTAAAATTGTAACTTCATTCCAGATATGATCTGTCACCTCTAGCAAGAAGGAATTGATATAGTGACGAGCTTAAGAAGTATAGGACATTGATTCCTTTCTGAGAACCTATCATGAGATGCAGTAATTTTGATTGTTGTTTGCTTCTCTGACATTACAGAGAGAGTGGCAATTTTGGGGCATTCAGCAGATTGCAAGAAAAACTGGAGAGTTTTATAATTTGACTCCTATGATTTCTGAATAGTGTTTGCTCAAATCAAACCATGTTACCTATAGGCTTTTGAAAGTCACCTTATTATTCTAATTTGGTGGTGCAGTTTTAGACCTTTTAAATGAAACAATTGTCAGGTCAAGAGAAAATATTAAATGCATATCAATATAATATCATGATCCCAAATGACCATGATTAAAAAGAAATGGAAAACGTGAGCAAGTTGTAACCTACTCATATATTTCTTAGTGTATTCCTTCTCATCGAAAATCTTCCCCCGATAAAGCTTGATTTAATCATGGAAGAAAAGGGTTATAAATACTATATACAGCATTATGTACTTTAGTCACTAATGTTGTATGAGAAGCCCGAAGCAGAAAGAAAGAATGCTTTGAAAATGATACGTCTCTCAAGTTTACATTTTTTCCAGTTGTAAGTTGCTTACTGGTTGTATTTGAAACCCTATCAATATATATCAGACTTGCTCCAAAAAATAGTCCATGTGAATGAAAATGGGGGGGGGGGGGGAATCCACAGTCAACAAATCTATTTATCACTTGATAAAACTGTACCATAAATAGTAAGTAGTCATTGTAACATTGTGTTGAAATGAACTTGCAGGCATTTCAAAAAGATGTTACCATGTAGGAATCATTTGAAGGTAACATGACTGCATGTTAGTACGTTAACACTACCTATGGGATTTTTTCCCCTACAGTTCATTAGATATATCCAGGGGGCTGGAATATGGGATAAATGCTTCTTCTTGGCCTTGGAGGATTACTGTCAGTCAGAATACATAACACCAAGTTAGGTGGACCAATGGTTTGATTAGTTAGGTAAATTTATTTCACCTGGCTTTAAGTGGACATTATCCTTTATGGCTTGTTCAGGCTATTTTGATTAAAGAATATTGCTAGATTTTCTATCATTATCTAACAACATGCATATGATTTATTTCTTGTTTCTTCTAATTGATACTTTGGAAGCAATAAATGCCCAGCAGCTTTATAAAAATATGATTATCTAGATAGCTTTGAAACAATTGTTCTGTTGTTTGTTGGCTCCTCTGATACAACAGTGCGAACAATGTTTAGTCAAACTGTTATGCACATTAATGTTTCTGCAGACTTTAGAAGGAGAAACATATTATTACCTTACCCAAATCCACTGAGTGGATTTTTAACTATCCACTTTAATACATATTTTGCTATAAGGCTTTGGTTTTTAATACAATTTTTCACCACATATCTGTGATGCATCCATCTAACTTACAACAAAGCTCTCTGCTATCACTGATGTACAGAGCTACTTTTGATCCTGAGAGTTAAGTGGAGTCTCTTGCAATCCTCTGCTTTAAAGTCTTTATTATTGCAGTCCTAAAAGAAGATGGAGCAAAAAAAATAATAGAAAAGTGACAAATGAGAGAGATACTTTGGCACATACAGTAGCTCTGACTGTTTGCCTTCAGCAGAGAAGAAAACAGCTCGCCGTATATTCCATCAGTTGGGTTCAATCAAGAACTGTTGGAGTAGTTATTTCTCATAAAATTTTGACCAGCTTGAAATATTTAATAAATAATAAAGTGAAACTCAGGTACCACACAGAGAACTGTCATATGCAACTGATATAGGTGTATCTGAAATATAGGAACCACATTATAACAATATGGTTTAAATTTAATGTGGGTGGCTGAATTAGTAACTTAGTATTTTCAGTACAATTTATATTGATTGTCTTCTCTCTCCTTCCCCCCCTCTCCATTTCTCATCTTTTTATTCCCTCCTTCTCAGGGAGTTTTCTAAAGAAAGAGAGAAAGCAAAAGCTCGGGGTGACTTCCAAAAGTTGAGAGAGAAACAGCAGCTAGAGGAGGACTTGAAGGGATATCTGGACTGGATAACTCAAGCAGAAGACATTGATCCAGAAAACGAAGATGAAGGCATGGATGAGGAGAAGCCCAGAAACAGTAAGCAACTTTCCCATTCACTTTAGATTGCTAGCTGGGATAGGTTTTCAAGATGAATTGTACATATTATTCACACATACACACAGGAACTAAAATGATGATATAATACCTTGCCTTTCAACTGTGCAATCAATGCTTATTTATTTAGAGATGAGGGAGGAAAGATGACAAAACTAATATTAACTCTGGAAGGTTTTGTATTCCTCTGACATAATTTAAGTTCTAACATAAGAAGGGGGAGGGGGGTGACCTATAATTTTTCTTAAAGGAAATTGTGAGTGCTATCTTTAATGCCTCGTGCTTACATGAAAAACATTGCATTTAACTTAAACCTACTTTTTATGAAAAATACTGATGAAAATGAAAAAGGAGAGTACTTATCTTTTCACTCTCACTGAAGGATTTTTCACTTATGTAGCTTTTTGAAAGTGTCTTGGTTTATTGCTTTATTTGGAGATGAGGAAAACTGAGTATTCTTTAGAATTCATACATAGTGACAGGGGTAGTATGGATGCTACTAGGGTTTTCTCCTTCAGTCTATAAGATTGGAAGTGCCTTTTATATTGTTTTGATTAGAATCTGTTTGCTTTCTACAAATCTTCTATCTCATAGCTTAGATATCATTGGTATTTAAAACTAATTCTGAAATTGGGGCAGCATCAGTGCTTTTGTTGTTTTATCTGTACACTGTTAGCGTCACAGTTATGCTACTTTATATATATATATATATATGGGTATATCATTCCCTTTATAAAAACACATCTTAAAGATTCAAAGAAACAAGTGATGAAAAATGGTGATGGCTTCTGTAGCTTTAACTGATGCATAGAAGAGGGAGTTTCAGCAAGTACTGCTTGTTACTAGATTGCATGTCGTAGTGAAATTTATTTTTCTATAAAGCTACAAAGCTATCATGTCCTGTTTCAACCTGGAAACCCTAGTTGATACCCTCCATCAACTAGGGTTATCCTATTCAATCTCCATCACTAGCATCTGGGGAATAAAGTTCCAGCTTCAGGTAGCATCACCCTCCTATGTAGGACCCACTGTTGAATAGCTAATAGCAATATTCTTCCTGGTAGACTGCTAATGCAATTGTGCGCATAACTGAATTCGCAAAAAGAAACCCTATAATGCTTTACCATCCCCTCTCAGTTACATGGCTTGGCTGGAAAATGACAGAAATTGAAAACTACAGCAGTAACAATGTCATTGTCTGCATACATCAGTTCCAAAATTAGTTATAGAAATAATTGATCAAAATTGAGAAGTTTAGGGTTACATAGAACATAGGAATTTGTATCTGTTTAACAGACTTCAACCAGCTTTTTATTTTACAAAATTCAGAGTACTTAATTCTAATATTGTAGGACAGTGAATAGATGTTCCTGTTGATTAAACCTGGATTACTTAAACAAGTGACTCATGTGCATAGAGGAAAAGATAAAGCTGGCAAGATTGTTAGATCATTTGTCTTTGGAAACACTGATACACTCCTCACTTAAAATGTTCCTCTGTTGTATGGTTTCATACATTGTGTAATGTACTACTGAGCACAGCCATGCTTGTAATATTTTCTTTCTTAATGATAATTTTGTTTGTTTACAGAATAAAATTGTATACCTTACATATAAAATACATTATGCATTCACTTCCAGAATGTTACTCAAATTCTGCAATGTTTTGTTATACAAGGAGGTTACCATATATATTGGGAATATATTATGGTAACAGAAAATATATTGGATGGCAGTGTTTGTGACTGTTCGGGACAGGTAGACCATCAGATTATATATCCAATTATGTAGCTCTGTCACAGCAAGTGAGAATTGACCCTCATTTCTTGTAAATATATCTGAGAGCAGCCAATAAAATTAGTGGTTTTGGCAGTCATTTTCCGTGTAAACATCATTCTGTTTGTGATACTGAATGAAGATTCAGACTTCAGGTTTCATGATACATGAACGTAATTGCAAAAATGATTTCTGCTCCTATTTCCAAATAATTGTTCAGTACAACATTTTTGTTTTTAAAAATTACCATCAAATCAGTTGTTGGTGCAGTTGCCATTAACAGATACCCTTCTGAAGAACAGCTGCATCAAGTTTTCTCTCACTTAAATGCTCTTAATTCCATGATCAGATTGGAACAGAAAGCCAGGAATTGATGTATTTAATACTGTATGCCAAAAAGAATTTATTGCTGATAGACAAAACCACATCAGAAACCACAACAGAAACTATCAGGGAGCTAATGAACAGATATGGAGTATTAGCTATATAATTAGCTACTGGAACATAAGAACCTGGCTATGTTGATTCAGCCAACAGAAGCTGATTAAGAAATTTCATGAAGGACAAAGTAGGATGATTAGTCTTATGTATATAAGCAGAGCAGGTAAGGATCTTTAAATGGGCACAAGTACTCTAGATGTCCCCATCTCATCTATTATGTTTGTTAATAATCATACCAAATCAAATGATACCAAATCAAATATAAATAAATCAAACACAGTACTGGAACCAAGTCAGTCACTAAGTCATACTTACTACCCAGCCGGTTGAAAACATGAATTTTAAACTCATCTCCTTTGTTTTGTTCTCTGTCCTGTGTGATTAATGTGCATTTTATAGAAATGGTTTGATATGTATCTTTTATGGAACTGCATTTTAATATGTGTGTTTGTCGAGTTTTTATAGTATTTGTGTGGTTTTGACTGTGTTGTGACCCGCTTCAAGCCATATGGAGAGGTGTGTAAAAATAAAATTATTATTATTATTATTATTATTATTATTATTATTATTATTACACTTGACATTGCCAATGTGGCTGTGCTAGTTTGGAAACATACAATTTGCACGTAGGATCAAATAGCAACAGTGTTTAGAGCAGCTAACATTCCAGGAATGGACTTTACATGCATTATTTTGTGATAGAAAGACTCATCTTACTGCACCTAACATCTCTGGAAGATATGCAAAATATTTTGGGCTGAGTGAGGATATTTTTGTGCACCTAAATCCTTCATTCACTCCCATCTCTATATTTAATGCTTCCCTATGTTCCAATCCAACATCCCATACTTTACACATACACAGAATATGCTAGAAGTTAGGTGGCCATATTTTTTCTTTACAACAATAATGTGAGGTAAATTGGCCTGAAAAAGAGACCAATGTGACATAAACCATTTCACATCTGAGTGGGGATTTGAATTAGAATCCTTTCAGCCCTGATCCAGCACTTCACTGTGTTAAATGCAGGGAAGGGAGCATCTTCACATGCAGTCAGGGTTCTGTCCTTTAATTCTGTTGAATATTCAGCCACTACTCCTAACTTAAATAAATACTGCTGGCCCTTCTGAAATAATTAGGTAGCAGCAGAAGGAAATCCATGGCTGGATATAGTGCATCCGCCAAAATCCTATCCCTTCTCCCCCCCCCCCCCTATTTATTGCATTCTTGAAAAACATTTTACGATGAAAATGGATATGAAGGAAATATTTCTGGCTCAAAATTGTAAAGTGGCACTGTAATGGGACTAAAATCTAGAATTTGTTAAGAGTCAGGGCTTCATATATCGGAGCTGGAAAAAATGATAGAAAGCTAGGTAACTGATATCATAATTAAGTAGAAGTAGCTAAAATAGTATGTGAAGTGATGACTGCTACATGGTGCTGTGTGAGTTAGTGGAGTCTGTATCACATAAGGAACCCTGTATAGGACCAATTTAACACGTGTTTGAGGGCTTGGGAGAGTCACCCTTTTAGCTTTTTTTCTCCTTCCCTTCCTCTTTTTCAAATACTTCTAAAAATTATTATTATTATTAATCCCAGCAAACAAAAAGAAAATCTTTGAGTCACCTTTGCGTTAGAGAAAGGTGGGATAGTAATATCGTAAATAAATAAATATAGAAAAAATGGAGTAGTTAAAATTTTCACATTAAAATTGTGTTTAAAATCATTATAATTGGGTGGCAGAGAGAGTTTGAAGATTGGGACATTCATAGGGATACTGAGATGCTTGTTTCCAAAACTATTGTCCTTCCAATTCTGTTGTATGCCTGCAAAATACGAACTATCTACAAATGTCACTCTTGACTTCAGGGAAGATTCCATTAATGTTGCCTAAATGCCTGATCATCATCCCTCGTCAGCTCAAGAACAGAAAACAAAATGTTGGTGAACAGCAAAAGCGATTTAAAGATGGGCTTAATGCTAACTTTAAAAAATGTGGCATAAACACAGAGAATTGAGAAGTCCTGAACCTCGAGAGTTCTAACTGGAGGTCAGATGTTATCAACAGTAGTATTGATTTTGAAGAGGCATGAATAGGGAGAAACATGCCAAGAGGAAGACATGTCAAGCAAACCCTTGTCCATCTGGAAATCTATGCCGTCATTGTGAAAGACCATTCTTACGGACCCAGCACCAAGACTCTACCTTTGAAAGACAATCATACCTAGCCACAAGTGATTGCCTATGATGATAGGATGGGGGATATTTTGCTTAGCAGCAATACCTGTAAAAAAGGGTTTTGCATTATTGTTAATTGTAACTTGAAGATGATTCAGCAATGTGATGCTTCAGGAAATAATAGCCTTCATTAATAGAACCAGCATTTCCAATACAAAAGAATTAATAGTCCCACTGTATTCTGCTCTGGTCAGGCATTGTCAACATTTTTGTTTTTTTCAGTGAAGATTTTAAGTTTAAAGACATTGCTCTGCTCTGTTAAGAATTTGTCCAGATGAAACAGATCTAGTGATGAAAATATCTGAATAGTCTAAATGAGAATAGAAGGAGATGTTTAAAGTTAGAAATTATTTTACTTTGACAGCTGTGTGAGGAAACCTTGCATAACACCTGCCCACACAAGGCCTAATTCAAGGTAATATTATCAATTCGTCACTTATATGAATGCTTCAAAAAGTATTCACAAATTACAAAAAGCAACCACTGCAAACCCATTAAATAGGTCTATTTTTAAAATTAATTTGGT